ACACACACACACACACACACACACACACACGTGTCCGTGGTCCCTGAGCATCCTCCCACGCAGCCATCGTGGGATGCTGATGGGTGGGGTCGGGGGCGACAGGGCTGTGGTCCCCAAGCGTCCTCCCCTGCAGCCATCCTCGGTGTTGGGGGGTACGCTGACGGGCGGGGGTCGCCCCAGGCGTGCACCACGTGCAGCGGCGGGACATCGTGCTGAAGTGGGAGCTGGGCGAAGGCGCCTTCACACCCTGCTGCTGTGTGCATGCACACGTGTGTGCAGCCTGCCCTGGCATGGGTGCACGTGTGTGTGTGTGTGTGCACACCCTGCTGCTGTGTGCATGCACACGTGTGTGCAGCCTGCCCTGGCATGGGTGCACGTGTGTGTGTGTGTGTGCACACCCTGCTGCTGTGTGCATGCACACGTGTGTGCAGCCTGCCCTGGCATGGGTGCACGTGTGTGTGTGTGTGTGCACACCCTGCTGCTGTGTGCATGCACACGTGTGTGCAGCCTGCCCTGGCATGGGTGCACGTGTGTGTGTGTGTGTGCACACCCTGCTGCTGTGTGCATGCACACGTGTGTGCAGCCTGCCCTGGCATGGGTGCACGTGTGTGTGTGTGTGTGCACACCCTGCTGCTGTGTGCATGCACACGTGTGTGCAGCCTGCCCTGGCATGGGTGCACGTGTGTGTGTGTGTGTGCACACCCTGCTGCTGTGTGCATGCACACGTGTGTGCAGCCTGCCCTGGCATGGGTGCACGTGTGTGTGTGTGTGTGCACACCCTGCTGCTGTGTGCATGCACACGTGTGTGCAGCCTGCCCTGGCATGGGTGCACGTGTGTGTGTGTGTGTGCACACCCTGCTGCTGTGTGCATGCACACGTGTGTGCAGCCTGCCCTGGCATGGGTGCACGTGTGTGTGTGTGTGTGCACACCCTGCTGCTGTGTGCATGCACACGTGTGTGCAGCCTGCCCTGGCATGGGTGCACGTGTGTGTGTGTGTGTGCACACCCTGCTGCTGTGTGCATGCACACGTGTGTGCAGCCTGCCCTGGCATGGGTGCACGTGTGTGTGTGTGTGTGCACACCCTGCTGCTGTGTGCATGCACACGTGTGTGCAGCCTGCCCTGGCGTGGGTGCACGTGTGTGTGTGTGTGTGTGTGCACACCCTGCTGCTGTGTGCATGCACACGTGTGTGCAGCCTGCCCTGGCATGGGTGCACGTGTGTGTGTGTGTGTGCACACCCTGCTGCTGTGTGCATGCACACGTGTGTGCAGCCTGCCCTGGCGTGGGTGCACACGTGTGTGCACGCCCTTCCCCTGTGTGCATGCACACGTGTGTACATCCTTCCCTGCCATGTGTGCACACATGTTCGTGCTCTTCCCTGGCCCGTGTGTACACAAGCACATGCCTTTATCCTGTGTGTGCACACACGTGTGCACACCCTCCCCTGGCCCGTGTGCACATATACCTGTGTGCTTTCCCTCTGTGCACACCCTTCCCTGACGTGCATGTCTTACCCTTATGTGCATGTGTGCCAGGGGAGGATGCACATGTGTGTGCGTGCACATGTGCGTGGCCTTTCCCTGGTGGCATGCACACGTGTGCACACCCTGCCCTGGCGTGTGCGTGCGCCCATCCCTCATGTCTGCACATGTATGTGCATGGCCTTCCTCTGTGTACGCACACGTGCACGCCCCTCCCTGGTATACATGCATGTGTGTGTGCCCTTACGTGGTGTGCACACACGTGTGTGCGTGCCCTTCCCCTGTGTGCATGCACATGTGTATACACCCTTCCCTGTCATATGTGCACATATGTGCACACCCTTCCCTGGCGTGCATGCACACGTCTGCACACCTTTCCCTCATGCGTGCACACACATGTGCACACCCTTCTCTGGTCTGCATGCACACACGTGTACATCCTTCTGTCACGTGTGCACATATGTACATACCTTTCCCTGGTGTGTGTGCACACATGTGCATGCCTTTCCCCCGTGCATGCACACACGTGTGCCCACCCTTCCCTGGCACGTGTGCGCACTCATATGTCCCCTTCCCCGGTGTTCACGCACACACACGTGCACTCCCACCCTGCACACACATGCACACTTGTGCACACCCATCCCACAGCCCTTCCCCTGCCTCTGGCACCCTCTCCCGTGCACCAATCCCCACGCCCCCACCCCATACATGTCCCCTCACCCATACGTGTCCCCCTGCCCCATACGTGTCCCCCCACCCAATATGTGTGTGTCCCCACCCACACGTGTGTCCCCACTCATATGTGTCCCCCCACCCATATGTGTCCCCTCTCCTATACGTGTGTGTCCCCACCCATATGTGTCCCCTCACCCATACGTGTCCCCTGCCCCATACGTGTCCCCCCACCCA